TAAAATTTCTCTGAAGATGAATTACCTGGTAAGGTTTTCTGTTAGAGCTTCCACACCATTGTCACTAACATTTGTCCAGCTTACATCTACTGACACTACACCAGAACAACGAGCAGCAACGTGAAGAAGAATAGACTCACCAATGAGTTCTCCACCACTACAGCCACTGAAGTCCAACTCCTGGAAAGACAGAAAACATGGTTTAAACTTCACCTTTAGCTTACTTTGCTGGCTAGTGTAGAATTTATTGCCATAAAAAATCTTACCACTATTTTCATGGTTATGCTCATATATAGAAAGACTTAAGCTAGTTTATGTTTTATATTCGTCACTCCTGTATATATGGGGCTGTTCGTTATGGTCCACTCCACACTCACCATCACTAAATTTTATCTTTACAACACACAACACCATGACGAGCTRGAGAGCCCATTTTACGGTAAACAGCATGTAGTCTTGGTTGCTACAGATAATAGTTAATCCGATTTCCGTGATGTCAAGATGACGAATGCCAGGCAAAAACATCACRCATCTGTAAATATGCCTACACTCGATCTATTTAGAGTTATAAACCATGTCGCTCGGCTATGAAAGTCCCAATAAGACACCCAAAACATAATATACTTGTCATATAATCACTTATTACCTGTAGCATTAAAAATGCCAATGAAACAATTCGATTGAAATAAACATTTATGAAAATATATACCTTTAACCCGCTCCCAATAGAACAACACCAGCAACACAAGCTAAGAACAGATGTATTATGTACAAAACAGAAACAGAGTCACATCTATCACAAAACACAGTGATCTAAGTAAGCATACACATTATACAGGTATACGAGTACCTAAGTATAAATGTGCCTACAGATCTATCACAAAACACAGTGATCTAAGTGAGCATGCAAATTATACAGGTATACGAGTACCTAAGTATAAATGCTGCCTACAGATCTATTACAAAACACAGTGATCTAAGCAAGCATGCAAATTATACAGGTATGTGAGTACCTAAGTATAAATGCTGCCTACAGATCTATCACAAAACACAGTGATCTAAGTGAGCATGCAAATTATACAGGTATACGAGTACCTAAGCATAAATGCTGCCTACAGATCTAATACATAACACGGACAGTGACCTAAGTAAGCATGCAAATTATACAGGTATGCAAGTACCTAAGCATAAATGCTGCCTACAGATCTAATACATAACACGGACAGTGACCTATGTAAGCATGMAAATTATACAGGTATACAAGTACCTAAGCATAAATGCTGCCTACAGATCTAATACAAAGACAATAAACGCACATCACATACATATAATAACAGCAAAAGGGTTAGATAGGCAGTGATAATGTGTAAGAAAAACCTGACATCCTTTKATCTTGGGCAATAGTTCATCGAAACGTTCTCAGTGACCCTTTCAAATAAAGCGCCACAGAAGAGTCACATGATATCTTATAACGACGTAAATATTGTTTCAGTGATGTAATGTGYCGTCCATTGATAGTGGCATGCTATGTGCTCATGCTGTGTTAATCCGTACGATGACATGCATTACGCAAGTATTYCCTATGCAATGAATAGAAATGAAATCTGAGACRAGCACTTTGAAAGTGCTGCTTCACGCCGGTAACTAAGCCGTGTAGCTCGTCATGCAACTCAAAATTTGATTTTTTACAGAGGGAGGAAAACCAGAGAAAATACCCTTGTGGCAAGGGAGAGAACAACACTTCAAACAAACTCAACTCACATGTATGTGGTTTCGTCGAGAACCAAATCCACAACGAACTGTACCCTAGGCATGAACTACACAGTGGTGAACAACAGCGCCATACYGTAGCAGCTCATGCCGCCCATATTAGTTTAACTTTATATGTAATCATGACAAAGTTGCAACAAATTTATCAGCAACAAATATATCAGCAATGAAAACTATGGTCACTCTTACCTCTAAAGTTCTACTACACTTTCTAAAAAAACTCCTCAATCCATTTGAAGTAACTTTATTACCAGAACATTGAGAAATTGTCAGACTTGTGGGGTGACGATCACCAATGCTCTCCAACCAACCATCGTTGATGTTTTTGTTCTTGCGAATAACTATGGTTCTCCCTATTTAAGGAAAGATATATGTAAGTGTAGTTCAATGAAAATGCAATAATGGGTTTTAAGGAGAKAGAGAAACTACTAAAAACCCAAAGAAACCCGAAAAAAACTCTTGAATCAAGGGAGAGACCTTTTGGGTGACAAATGCTACTCACATGTGATGACAAAATTAGAAATCAAACCTGAGACCACAGGGGTGCGAGGGTAAACTACTTCAGCTACACCACCCTTTTTTAAGAAATAAGTGACAAATGCACACTTGAAGGACTCCCAGTGATAAACAAAATAGGAGAACATTAATTTTAACTGATTCCACCCTTTCTAACCCTGTGTTTTTATAATTTTTCAACAGGTTCTTAACTTACAGAGAGATTCGTCCATTGCTATTCTGTAAAACTGCCAACAAACTTGAGCACACGACACCTTGTCTTTCATTGGTAGATAGGAGAAGATCTGAAGAATGAGCTCCTCAGGCAGGTAGAGATAGGGAACYGGCTCACAGTCACGCTGAGAACGAATCTAGAAAATGAATGGAAAAAAAGTCAAAAAGCTGCCTTTATGTAATATTATTTTATAACGATTATTACACATAATAATTTGGTAAAGTAGACACTCCCACAGTTATGTGTACACTTTCTGGGCCAGCATTTTCAAATAGGAAAAAAAAAAATCAGACATTAAGAAAATATGACTTAATATTTCAAAAGCCATGGCTCTCAACATACATGTGTCCTGTAATATGTCATTTGCATCTAGTTTTGAACACCAGACATAAAAGCATGTTCTTTAATTGGCACCGCAAACTTGTACTGTATGTTTGTCCTCAATTGTCATTTACTATAGTCCCAACTAAAAATTTGGCTCTCAGATGTCCACATTTGAAATATTTCAAATACACCTTAGTTGTGGTGTGACAATGTTTTCCTGTAACAAACCTCCAGAGGAATTCATTTTCTTTTGCCTTTACTCTTCAAAATTCATGAGTATCCCRAAGCTGTTCATTCCTCTAGAGGTTTGTAACGTTCAATTGGGAAAACATTGTCACACCACAAATAAGGTCTATTTAGGGCTAAAATAGCTGCTCTAAACAAGATGAACACCTATATCAATGATACTACACTAATCAACACGTGACCTGTCATCGTATGTGTTGAAGCTAAATAGAGGAYCAACCTAAGACTTTTTTGGCCAGACAGTTGCCCATATCAGCCAGACATTGTCCTTGGCCAGTCGTTATGTTTRATATACATGCATTAATTAATCAATCAAATTAATATTGGTGGAACATACCAGTGTCAAGATCCTGTCATAGCTTCCTATNTCTCTTTTACTCCGACGAAGGACTAGCGTCCGAAACGTCAGTAAGTTTTTTCATCTTTTCACGGTGTATAATTTACCTTTTCATCATTACTATTTATTTACACTGTGAACTAAGCAAATATTTTATAGAAATACATTTAGAAATGATATTTATTTCGTCTTCATCCAAGTCGGTAAATTAATGATTATTTATTGGAGCGAATTCTCGTTAGACCTTCGCACATTTCAACATACAATCTGAGCATTGCTTCGGCTGTTTGTAATCTTGTAATGTGTGGCGATCAATCTACTTTTTATTCAGAACGGCTTATTTAAATGACAAAACTGGCCGAACTTCCTTCAAAACTCCATTGGAATTGTTCTTTTTTTCGTCTTTTACTATTTTTCTACTATCTACGTACATCTACATTGATTATTTTCTTAAGAAGTCACTTCGTAAATACAACTGTTGATCAGTAATATTAAAACTTTGCTCGATCGAGTTTGTGAGATTTTATTCCTGAATACCGCCGTGACTTTGAGCTGTCTGTATGGAGAATAAAGTCCTCCAGAGCTTGAAATCAGACTCTCTTCTTGAGTTCTAATTAAAATAGGTTTTTTCGATAACCGGCTCGATCTACGAGTCTTCTGAAAAATCACGTTGTACCTAATAAGCGTGTTTGTTTACTTTTTAAAATACATAAGAAAAAAAGGTCTAAGTCATTGAAATTTTATTTCAGGTGTTAATCGTATAATTTTATTTCAACTTGCATCTTTCCTTGATTCTTTTAATATGAATAATTCGAAGATAAAACTATGTGCGAGTGTGCGCATGCACAGTGGGCCCCCACAGTGTCTACAAGTGCTAGAAACTGATCCCACATGGAACATCAGCATTTCGTTTCCTCATATAAATATCAAAGTAATCTATATGGTATAAGAGCTTTGTGCTTACTAGTGTCGTGTAACATTCGTAATCAAATGACGTAAGATGATCGGTAAACGTTTAATTATCGATCTGCTAACATCTTAGTGAGCGAGTGAGTGAGCGAGTGACACATTTGCATATTCAGACCCCTCACAATAACTCGTTTCTACGCTTCGCGTATCCACGAGTTAAAAACTAAATAGATAAGCATATATAAATATTGATGGTTTTCACGGCGGCCATGTTGGAGGAACTTAACAAAAGAATTGTCAATGAATTCTTTTGTTATATCCTCCAACATGGCCGCTGTCCTTTGTTATTTAATTCTCTTGGGAATGGTTGAAAACCATCAATATCATAAATTATGGCTTAACAAACTGTCTAACATCWGGCAACGAATAAAGAAACAACAAGAATACCACTTTACTGTAGATTAGATACTCTTACCGTCTAGATTAAGATGYGGAACCTGTACATGTACGCCGTCATTTTTTCTTTCCCTTCCATCCAGTTTTTCCCCCTTTTCAGGATACAAAAGATCCGGGCTTGAGGACTGAGAAGAGGTTCTTGGTTTCGCACTTGATGGTCTCTTTTTCTGCGGCTTTGTTAGCTGACTTTTGTTRTTTAATTTAGCACTGACAGGTCTTGGCTTACTCAATAGCTTGTCTTTATGAGTCCTTTCCTGATTGGACAATTCAAAATTGATTGGCATGTGGYTTTTTGAATCGTAGTCATCAGCAGAGTAATAATTAGCACTGGTTGTTCTGCGTCGTCCCCCTGGTTTAGAATGCCCATTTTTGTTCCCATGTTTTCTATGAGTTCCCTCAGTAGCCAAGAGGTCACTGGATGATCGACTCCTGAMGTTATTTCCACTTCTGTTTTTGTTTGCTCCCATTTCTTTTTCCTTGCCGTTTGTTTTCCCAACTGATGGAGGCTTCGAGAGTTCCTGGGGTTCAAACGAACTCCAAGCTATACTTGATTTTTGCCAGCGACGTTTATAATTAGACAAATTACTTTGAAGTGATTCGTTACTAAAACCAGAATTCTTTTCAACTTCCATTGATAAGTTCAAGACATCCTTATATAAATCTCTCTCTGTTTTACTCATGGTTTTTGATCCGTTTTTTAATGGCTTGTTGGAATTCAGTGCTTCAGCAATAAGGGTCTTTGTCTCCTGACATTGCATTTCGTATTTACTCTGCTGCTCTGTGGTCAAAACCACAGGTTCCACTTTAATCAGTGCTGTACCGCACTCGATACACCAATTCGCTGCCTTGCTATTCACTTCTTGGCATGTTTTGCATACTTTAGCCATCTGTGTTCCACTAGAGGCAGACCTTTCTTCTCCTCTTGAACCTACACTGCAATCCTCTTTTGCAAGTACGGACGACAACAATTTCAAGTTTCCATATGTTGATTTAGATGTCTTGTGTTGTGAATCAACTTCTTGATATTGTGAATCAGAAGACATAGAATAACCTTCACTTGTAATTTTAGAAGCCTTAGCTTCAGGATTAGGCAACAAGTCAGGCTTTATCGAACAAGCAGGCTCATTAGAAAATGATACTGAATTCATTGAGGTATCTCCATAAAGAACCGGGCTCCTCACACGTTTTGTCTCCTCAGAAAGCTTGTGTGTCTTTCGCGCACTTTCTTTAGCAGATTTTTTGCTRTTTCTCTCAGAATCTAAGAATGTTGTTAGTTCATCAAGAATCTTTTGTTTTCCCTTGCCCGATTTTAATGGTTTGATCTTTTTGGATTCTGTAAAATCAGATTCGTTGTGGAAATTTTTGGATTTGTTTCCATGACGTACACTCGGCACACTTAAGCTACTTTCTGAATCAGAGGTTTCAAATCCGTTGTACAGCTTGCCCTCAATCTGCGGCCAGGGTGCTGCTCCCTTGCCAGTGTGGCTAGACTCACCAGACTTTGTGAAACTGAACCTYGTGAAATCCTCTTTAGTATTACCATCACCATGGCAATTACTCTCTATTCCATTGATATCACCCCTAGAAACAGGACTGGATTTCCCAGCCAGGACTTTATTTGGTGACTTATTCTCATCTTTCCAKGAATTATTTTCTTCTGTCATATACGACGCAGGTGTTTTGGTTTGATTTTGATGCTTTTTTTCCAGGTTGAAGTTAGTATCTCTAATTGAGAAACACTCTTGACTTACAGAAGAATTATCAAAAGTTTCAACGTTACCAGAACGTGACTCTTCTTTAAGCCCATTTTCAGAACAGTGACCTAAGTTTTTACTCCCAGAGTACATAGGTCCAAGGTAGGAATTTATGTCAAGCTGTCCTGACTCTACAGCACCTCTTAGGCCCCATAATTCTAGTCTCAACTTGTCATCTTCATCACTGATAGCCCTAGTACCTCCATAACTACGAGGCTTGGAGTTCCACTGTCTCTCTCTCAAGGAATTTTCTTCCATTCCAAAAGAACTAGCTTCATACTGCAGCATTTTGTCTTGTTCAAGCTCTTCTGGGCTGAAACATTTAGAGTTTTCGTCACTGGATTTTGCTGCACAGTCGCTTAAATTCTCAAACCGAACAWGGCGTTTCTTCCTTAGATCTTCAAGGTCAATCCTAGGACTGCCAGAAGCATTATTACTAGTAATTCCAGGAGATATGGAAGAAGATTCGCAAGGATTTTTGATTGTAGAAATGTCTACTTCTTGACAAAACAACTCTTTCTCACTCGGCAATCCAGTTGCCTCATGATATATTTTTTCATCTGAGCTCGTTTTCTCAAGATCTAGGTGTTTTCTTTCAAGATCATCATGGCTAAAACTATTGCTGACGGAGCAATCTTGATGATGACGGTGATAAATATGGTCTTCAGGAATTGTGTTGTCATGTTTGTCAGAGACCTTTGCCAGTAATGAAGCTTCTATTCGACGAATCCAGTCACTGGCTATGGTTTTAGCTTCATCCTCGTCCATGGTTTCCACCTTAAAATTCCGGTTGTCATGGATAAAATGGTGAAATTATCCAACTAAAAAAGTCGAGAAATTTTCCCTCCATCGACTCAAAACAACGGCAGTCGAACCAAACAACTTCATTCCATGTCGTTATAAAAACTCAACTAAAATCTCATCTGATTGGTTGCTTGATAAAAGAATTTCTAAAGCAACCAATCACATTTTATCTTCTATAATGGTTTTAGAGTACTGCATTCGAACATCCAAGCATGTTTTATTTGCAAAACCACTGTAACTTAACTGGAGCCCGCATTCGCGCCAAAGCTAAAATTTAAAACCATCTGTATTTATTTTGTYATCCTAAAAATTCTGCATTTTTGGCTTTAGTGAGGGGAAAATTTTTGAAACTTATTCAAGTAACTCGATGAAATTTTTTTCATCTCATTTGTCTTTGGCGCGCAATGTTTATCTGTTTATAATTTTTGCTCTTGGGGTAGCTGTGGATTCTCAACGATGTGCATAATCTACATTTTAATGTCAACATGAGTTTTGTTATTAAGAGTACCTCTTGAGATTRCAAAAACATTCGCCTCAAAACAGCCATACATTTTTTATAAGTCGTAAGTCGTCAAAATGAGCAGCCTAAATGTCCCTAAASTCAATGCTTCTAGGCAAAGTAGTTTGGCTTCTATGGAAAACTACCCAAGCTTTGATGAAGTTGAACTGGATAATTTGCTGAAGGAAGAGGGTTTGCAAAAATTTGACGATAATTTTGACGAAGATGCTGTTTCTTTGAGCGTTGAAGAAGGTGACTCTGATGATGGTAACTTTTCTGGATCACAGGTAAATATATTTGTGTTCATTTATGTGTCAGACTGAAGCATGACAAGTTCATTAACCTTTGGTTAGTGTTTGACTTACAGGATAAACGTGTAAAAGCCGGCGAAATGGTTTCCAAACGAGTAATAGTTGATAACCATCTGTCCTTGAGATAAAAGTGATGTCAGCCATGCTTTATTGGACAGATTTGCATAGGGAACTATTAATATTGGTCCTATAGAGCACTATCAAACTCCTTTATTTTTGATTTGTTAT